TGACCCCATGATTTATTCGGCACAATAAACAAAAGTACGACTGCAATAAAACATAAACTTGAAATAAAAGTATATTCATGAAACAAAATTAAAATGTTTTTATGTACATGTATAAACATGAAATCCTAGTTAAAAATAAAAATACTCATTTATTGTTTAGGTTTACTTACAAATATTATTTTTGGGTCTTGTATATTACCGAAACCATAAGGAGAGTATGTGATTATTAAAAAATTAAAAACAGATAAAATTTGTATTTTATGGACAATACAAATTTTTGGGGATTTCAAAATAATGTACTAAAACATAAAAAGTAATAAGTTCAAATCTGTAACAAATATAAATATCGTAATCATTTCTTATAAATACCATTTCCTTATGTAATTTTCCAAGATATTAAAGATCATAATGCAAAAAAACTAAATTTACCAAAAGTACAGGCTTTATGTTTCTTAAACTATGTGCAGTTATGAAAGTTTTTATGGAGTTTCAAACAATTTCATCCACTAGTTTTATTGTTGGGATGAAATATAGCAAGACTTGTATTGGCTACTCAGACAGTTAGTAGCCGGTGGTCATCGGGTTAATGAAAGTTCTTATGGAGTTTCAAACAATTTCATCCACTAGTTTTATTGTTGGGATGAAATATAGCAAGACTTGTATTGGCTACTCAGACAGTTAGTAGCCGGTGGTCATCGGGTTAATGAAAGTTCTTATGAAGTTTCAAACAATTTCAGACAGTTAGTAGCCGGTGGTCATCGGGTTAATGTAAGTTCTTATGAAGTTTCAAACAATTTCATCCACTATTTTTATTGTTGGGATGAAATATAGCAAGACTTGTATTGGCTACTAAGAAAGTTAGTAGCCGGTGGTCATCAGGTTAACAACCAAATAATAAATCTTCAAAAGTATTTTAAAGACACCCTTAGGTGGTAAACAAACCACATACAAAATTACAAGTCATAGAACCACAAAACCACAAATTTCTCAATCTCATTGACTGATTGACATTGTTGAACACTTCTAGCTGTGTAGCAAACAGACTTACCATAGTTATAAGTGCACCAAATAGAACAATAGCACAGGGATTACATGCTAGTGCTAGCATGAAGTAGTTAAATTAATTAAATAATTTATCAACACTTGGTATATGCACACAACTCACATTACATCACTCAAATGACACTGCACACTATAGTGTGTGTGCAGTCACATTACAGGACACTCACAATGTGTACGGACACCATTATTTGCATATTCCAAAATATTATGGTGCACACCCACCCACATTGATGATATACATACAGGATATCAACACCAATGAAAGAATGATGCATAAGATCATGTATGAAAAAAAAGTGTTGGAATTGGGTGCACGAAAGATTGAAGATACAAGAAGTTAGGAATGGGCATGGTGTAATAAAACTTCCTCTGTACAAGCTCACAAGGGAGACGTGTCCAACATCCAGTCAATGCCTACTTCATTCTGTACAAGCTCACAAGGGAGACGTGTCCAACATCCAGTCAATGCCTACTTCATTCTGTACAAGCTCACAAGGGAGACGTGTCCAACATCCAGTCAATGCCTACTTCATTCTGTACAATCTCACAAGGAGACGTGTCCAACATCCAGTCAATGCCTACTTCATTTTTCTGTTTTCCTGATGTTATACAACTTAGGGATACGTACCAAATTGTCTATGATTCTTCTACTTTTGTGTAGACAGTAATGAATCCATGATGTCAATACTGCTTTCTCCATACTATATGTTAAAAAAATAAAATGTACTTTTTAAAAATCTTTAAATATGTATGTACTTAGTATTTGTATTCCACAAATACTTAACAGAATACAGATTGGAGTTCCCAATAATTACAAAAACAAATCAGAAATGCAGCTCCTACTACCAACCATGCTTGTTAGATTTCTAACACAGACAACATGAAAACTGAAAGCCACATTACCAAACCAAATCGCTACATCAAAGACATTCTTTTTTTATTAACCAAGACAAAGTATTCTCAACCATATCAGCTAAGGTAAATATATATAACCTTACAACAATGACGTTTTGTGCATACCCAGTTCTGTGTTGTTTGAAACATTTTAATGTTGGCGTCTCTACTAAAGTACAAAAACTCATTCACTTTAGTTCTGAAGACAAATGCTTAAAACAATAACTGATTTCTTCACAGCAATAGATAATTTGTTTTAGGTTCTTTAAGTATATTGCTCTATTTCTACTTGTAGCAAGTGGACAGAAGTTGCTGTTCCCTAACACTTTTCCGAAGTCATTTCCAGAAGCTCCTTTGGCAGGACAGAATGTTAGACTGGAATGTGTTGCTTATGGATAGTGAGTTTTAAATTATGTAGTAGTTCAATGATCAGCATAGTGCATTAAATATTACAGTGTTAGAAGTTGTACTGATGATAAAAAGAAAGGTAATAACAAGCTAACAACATAAATCTCTAAAACTTGATATAAATTTTTTTATGTAGCTTATATAATGTTGAGAGAAAGTTAAGTGTATGAATGTTTCAAACTTTGCTAAATTTGCATCAAAACATTCAGTACATTAGATTTTATCATGTGTATAATATTAGTAATATTGAACTTAACCATGAGTAAAACAAGTGTTTACCAAGGAAACTAGTATTAAAATATTAAAAAATGATTAAAATGAATATTAAATAATTATTTTATGAATTAAACTAGGCGTGTGCAACTTCCTTCAGGGCACGAGCCAGATAGCAATTTTTAAATATACTTGTGGGCCATACAATGTGAAGCAAAAGTAAAATTTAAAAAGACTGCAATTTCCTTAGCAAAATTTCTTGTTATTACCAAGAAAAGGGTACAAATAGAATAGCAGTAGAATATACAGCAAATGAGAGTATTATTCAAATAATAAAAGTCATGAAAAATATTTTAAATCACATACAGTAATAGTAGGTGGATCAGATACATTCATAGTTAATAATCCAATTTTTAATATTATAAAAGTTTTATTTCTTAAATTTATAAGGCAATATTAAAAAAATCCTGAATTTCTCCTAGAATGAGAAATGTGACATTTTTTCTTTAGGCATCCCCTCTTCCTTAATTTATTCACCACCCCTCCAATAAGTATGAAATTTAATGTAATTTACTCAAACAAAGCATAATTTTCCTAGCCTTCAATCTTGTTTAGTTGCAGAGCCATCAAATAGAAAATCAGACCCCTCTTGCCACACCCACCTGTCAAATGAAAATGAGCTCATTATATTTTATTTGTTAAAAGTAATTTAATTCCAGAATTATCAATTGGTAGGCACCCATAATTTTATTTTTTTCCTTGACTGATTACAGAAGAAAAGCGAGTTCGCGGGTGGCTTGCGGGGCATATTCAAAGATATTTCAAGCACTTATTGTGGGCCGTATAAAACCACTTCACAGTCTGGATGTGGCCCATGGGCCATATGTTGCACATGCCTCTACTAAACTTTCTAGTTTTCCTACTTAAAAGTCTTGGTGGCTGTCAATGAACTAGAATGAGAAAACTTTTAAATATTTTTTTAATTGTGTTACTTACACATCACATGTGTCACAGCTTTCTGTGATATGTGTGTCATAAACACTTCATTTTGTCATGAATGATCAACAATTTTTATTTGTGAAAGAAAAATCAGGTTATCAATATGTAGAGAAATTCATAGAGTTTTAAATGTTTTCAGTCCTGTTCCCTTCTATAATTGGACTCGTGATGGGTCATCCAGAAGTCTACCACAGGGTTCTTATATGATAAACTATAATCGTGTTCTTATCATTCCAAACATACGAGTGGAGGATATGGGAAACTATATATGTGTTGCCAGTAGTGGTATTGAATCTATACAAAAAGCTGTCTCTCTTAGTATACAAGGTTCGTATAGAAATAAAAAATGGAATAGTTCTAAGAATGTTTTATTTTTAAAACATGTTATAAAAGCATGATTTTTTGTTCTAGAAATAATGAATATTTTTAATAATAGGTACTAAAACATTCAAGGATTTTTGTTGTTAATACATATAGTAATGTTAGTATTATTCTTTGCTTGCCTATTTACACAAACATTTCTGATTTTAGTATTTGATGGGTTTTGTGTAAAATCAAGGTTACTGGTCAGCCCAATTATCTATTTTTATATCCAGCTTTTGCTAGAATTTAGTTGCTCCGTTTTTATTATTACTGGAATAAACTGGACTCTAATATTTGTAAAGATATTTTAGCATATACAAAATGAAGTAATGAATAATTTTATTGGAGTGTAACAAACCCCATTTTCTAAGAAATTGTAAATTTTGCAGAATAAATAGATCTTTATTATTACTGATAGAGTGATACACATATAATAACCTAATGAGTTACATTTATTGGACATATGTAGTTTTTATCTGTTATACTGCAGCACGTCCTCAGTTTACAATAAATCTGGATGACAAAGTGATGGATACTGGGAGTACCTTAACATGGACTTGTGAAGCTTTTGGAATACCAGATGTTACTTACAGTTGGTGGAAGAATGGGCAGGAACTCCTCGTTGATCAGTTGATGCCCTCTGACATCACCCGATACTATATTTTTGAGAATGTTCTAACAATTGAAAACCTGATTGTAGAAAGAGATGAGGGCATGTATCAGTGTAAAGCCACAAATCAACTAGGTTCCACATACTCCACAGGACAATTACGAATTATTAGTGAGTTACAACTTATTGTGTATTCATAAGTATATTGTTCTCATTCCTCTTCTTCTAAAGTGTATTGGTGAAAATTTGCAAAACATTAAAGATAATTACTTATTTTTGAAATTTGTGATAGTCAACTTTAATAACACTTATGCTGTAATAACATTTCACTGTCATTATGACGTACCTAAATCATATTACATAGAAGAAAATTAATGTTTGAAAAGCATAAGTACCTCCTCAAAAATACTTAGTAACATTGTTTTTAGGAAAATTGTGTGAAAACTGCTGAGATAGATAGCACATCTAATTCTTTAAATTTTTTTTCCTACATCTATGAGTGTAACATAATTACCATTTTGTTCAGAATTGCAATGGAAAATCATTTCAAAATAATAATACTGTTGAGGTTTACTCTTTGTTTATAGTTTAGAGTTGTTATTGTTTTTATATTATTTACATCCTTAAAAAAACTTGGTCTTGTGATATAGATTGTTCGGGTAACTTTATAAACTTAGAAAGACAAACCCCATTACATAGAAAATTAGTATTTGGCTGGTTGTGCTCAATTACTACTACTTAAAGGCTTGATTGAAAGTTAATGTAAAATCTTTTTGAACTTGCAGGCCAAAAAAGCTGAAATATCTTAATTCAAGTCTAGAACTGATAGATGTTTTTTCAGGGCAAAAGATTTTTATTTTTCATTAGATTTCTTAAAGTTAAGTTATATAGCAGTGCAGACTGTAATTTGTTTTGTAGAATGTGAAAATTTTTGTGACCTTAAGAAAGCCAAAAAAATGTTATTAATATGGGTTTTTATGCACTTTTGTGTTTTTCAATATATTAAATCAAGTTTTAAACATTATACTCTTACATTTATGTTTACATTATAAGTATGTTTGCTGGATATGATATGTTTTACTGATACATTATTAACACGTGCTTTACAGCCTTAAGTCCAACTTTTGAAAAGTATCCTCTAGAGCAAGAGATGTATGCAGGAGAAGGAGGAAATGTTACAATTCCTTGTCGTCCTGAAGCTGCTCCTAAACCCAAGTTTACCTGGATGCACAATGGTGTTGTATTAAGTGGTAATGGTCGTATTCAATTACTGGATAATGGATATCTTTATATCAGTTCTGTACAACGTGGAGATGAGGGGCAGTATACTTGTGTTGCAAAAAATCCCCTGGGTTCAGACAAGAGCTCTGGAAACTTGCTTGTTTTACGTGAGTTGAAATGAACTTTTCTTCTAACCCTTAATTTTTCTGAAGTTAAATGTCTAAGATATGTATGTGAAACAAGCTTATTATATATATATATGTATAACTTAGTTGTAGTTGTCTACTTTTAGTTACACAGAATATAACTTAGTTGTAGTTGTCTACTTTTAGTTACACAAGTTAAATGTCTAAGATATGTATGTGAAACAAGCTTATTATATATATGTATAACTTAGTTGTAGTTGTCTACTTTTAGTTACACAAGTTAAATGTCTAAGATATGTATGTGA